CCTAATTGGCTCCCACCCAGTTTTACGTACAAAATGACCTCCATCCCTCTGAGCCGCACGCTTCCTGTATCAGGATGGTTTCGCTGAGTTTCGAAATAAAAAAAAGGGGCCTGAGTTCTTTTGAAGGTGATTTTTTTTTTTTTTTTTTTTTTTTTTTTTTTTTTTTTTTTTTTTTTCTCTCTCTCTTTCTTTCTCTCTCTCTCTCTTTCTTTCTCTCTTTCTTTATCTCTTTCTTTCTTTATCTCTTTCTTTTTAAAGTGATATGCAAGAGTCCATATAATTGCATGTTTATCTTTTTTTTTTTCTTTTTGATTATATAGTGATTTATGTGAAAATGCTGCAAGAAGTAAGATATATACATATATATATAAATATATATTTATAGATGTATTGTAAACACATTTGAGTAGGTATCATCTCCGTATCTATGTTTATACTGTACATTGAACATGAAAATTTGATTGGCTGTTGCATTGTCAAAGGAAGTGATGTGGTTTTGAGAGGACTAGGAAACAAAGGCCAGTTATGAAATTGCTTGTTACTTAAAGACATTAGTGCTGAGCATCAGAAGCTGGATGGGGTCACCAAGAGGAAGTGCTGATCGAGAACTTTTTTGTGTCGTAAAGGGATCTCACATTTTTAAGAGGAGTAAATCACAAGCCTTTCGTGGGGGGCGCGGGATGATTCGGTCCTGTGCCAGGATACAAAGGACAATTTTGTTAGAAGGGTTCATTTGTTTTAACATGGAGGAAAGAAAAAAAAAAAAGAGATGAGATAAAACGATGAAAACAAACAAGGAAGAAAAAAAAAATGAACAAACCAGAATTTTTATGTTGGCCTGAATTTGGGTAGGTAAGTATATACCCCTTGCTGTATGGAGTACATGCCGGTTCTCAAAAAAAAAGGGGAACGGCATTCGCTTACATATATATAATTTTTTGTTTTGTTTTTCTTTCATTTTAGATTTTTTCTTTTTTTCTTTTGGTTGCCTAATGATAAAACCAAACTTTTACGGTGGTTTGTATGACGAGGTCAGAGAGTTTTGCTTCATGTGCTTATTCTTCTTGGATATTAATAAAAACTTTAAAAAACTTCAAAAAAAAAAAATAAAAAAAAGACTTAACATTTTCGAAGTGCAAGCATACTAAGTATTATAAGTAAGGAGAGAACAGTGTTAATTTACCTGTTAAGGAGGAGAGGCCTGCCATTTTTGGGAAGGGAATATAAGGTGGGAGAGGAAGAGATCACCAGAGGAAGCAAAACGCCACACACTGTGAGGAAGCTTATCTCTCACACAAGGGTTGTACTTCTTGTCTTTTCAGTTACTGTTATTATGATGATTATTTGTTATTCAAGTTTTTCATTATTCGTTTTGTCATTAATGCAGAAGGAAACGAAATTTTGCCAACAATTGGGTTTTATCATTTTCTTTTATATGATTGATGTCGGTAATTGTTTTCAATGTTCTAAGTATATTTAAAACGATTAGTCATGTTTTATTGATTTGTGCCAATAGAAAACAGTGAGTCAAAGAACTTTTTATGTCCAATTAAAAGTAATAGAGAGAGAGAGAGAGAGGGAGAGAGATGTCTGTGCTATTCTCTCTCACAAATGTTCACTGCCATTTTGTTTCCTAAATGTAAGTGGTGGCAGCTTCATGTAGCTGACACTTGTTAAGGATACCTTGTAGGGGTTAACTGTATTGCTTTTGTTTTCTGTATCATTGTCCTTTTTTTTTTGTTTTTCGATTTATGTTTTTTATTTGCCTCCCCACATTATTTCAGGTCTATTTATATCATGTCACGTCTTTGCTGAAGGCTAAGCCCAATGATTCCTATTGTAAAGTAAGATGTGGTTGTTTCTAATAGGGTTTTATTTTTTATTTCTTCAGCTATAAGGTAGGATCATTAACCCAGTCCCCTCCCTTTACACACACACACACACATATTCAAAAAGGGAAAGGATTTGAAGGAGGTTTATGTTGTTTTTTTTTAACTGATTGATTATATGTTCAGGAAAAGGGGAAGAAAGTATTGGAAGAAAAGAGAAGGGAGGGGGGGAGAAGAAAAAAAGATGATGATGATTTTTAGATTATTTTTAAGTTTGTGATGACCAGATTCTGCTGACCCTAAACCTTGGACCTTGTGACCAACCAGACAACTTGCAAATTTTTGGACACAGAACAAGGCTTAGGGAAGTCGATGGCCTCTTTAACATTGTAATGAAGGCTAACACTCGTTTGCACGCTTATCTCAGCACACTGCCGCAGCAACCTCTATGTAAGGAGATAGAAGAAGGCCAGGCACATTTTGCAGTCCTTATGGTAAATTAAATTATTATTATTATTATTATTATTATTATTATTATTATTATTATTATTGTTGTTATTGTTTCTCTCTCCTAATATCCCCATTCTCTTTTTTGTTTTCTTTCTCCCCATTGCCAATAGTACTATACAAATCTCATCTTATGTTGATGCTAGTTTCATTCTACTCCTTACATGGGTTGCCGCAGCTTGTAAGTTTTACAGAGGAAAAAAGTCTTTTTATGTTTGTTAGCCCAGAGAAATAAAAATGAATATATATATATATTTTCATGAATCCCACTATCAGAATTGTAAAAAAAAAACACACAAAAAAATGGCACTTGAGGTATGCTGTAGGAATTCTTCCCACATATTCCCTCAAGAAAAATTATATATTGTAAAAAAAAAAAAAAAAAAAAAAGAGTGAAGAAAGACGTGTCTCGTAATGCTGAAGAAACAAAAAGATCTTTTATTGAAGAGAGAAAAAAAGTATATCAGTTGTGTAACCTTTGATTAACCTGGCTTTGTAGCGTCCAAAGTGGTTCTAGTAGTGTGCCTTCAGTGGATATTCTAAAAAGAAAAAAAAGAAAGCTCTTAGAAAGAAAGAAAAAAAGATATGTACTGTATAATGTTAAAAATTGTCTTTTAAGAGTATGGATTTACTTTAATAAAAGTTAATAGATTCATATGTATTTTTTTGTTGTTGTTTGTAGACCTGTGGCAGTATTTGTAGAATTCAGCTGTGCATTTGAGATTTTTTGTGTACCAGTATATACATTATATATACACAGATTGAGAGTGAAGAATGATATATATATTTCAAGTATTTCAGGTCAGATCAGTTTACTTAGTCTTACAGATCATTTGATGGCATTAATATTATTTATTTATTTCCTTTTTTATTTTTTGACCTAAAATTATGTAGTCATTGAAAATTGCAGATAGAATATATGAAAATATTTTTTCATATTCCAAAACAGAGAGAAGAGAAGCAGATGTTATTAAAGGAAATATTTCAATATCTGGACTAAAGTGAAGAGAAATAGAACATTTAGAAAGGGAGGGTTTGGCTACAGAATGTGCAGTGTGTGTAATATCATTTTAAGGAAAGATTGCATTTCTTGACCTTCCATTCTTGCTTCTCGTTCCTCACTGATGGACTTTTGGAAATACACAAGTGAAGATTGTACTGTGTCTTAGCATGGTGAGATACTGTTTACAGTTTTCATACATAGCTGCATACATACAGGAATATATTTGTATATGCATTTTAAATAGTGACTATTAAAGGAATATGAAACAAATGGTAAAGACTGCAAAAGAATGAGTTAAAGGAAAATCTATATTTTATATCCAAAAGAAGGGAACTGGTAAAAAGCTTTAAAAGTTGGTAGCAACAAAAATTAACTAAACTGAATTTAGAGAAGTATTGTATTACTTGAAGTCTTTCATTTGTGATGAGTTTATTTATATTTGAAAACCAGATTTATATCTAGAATAACAGGTAATATCTGAATTATTTTTTTAGCAATTTGGCTAAATTGAATATTTTATTGTATATGCGGTAATTGGATTGCAAGAAAAACATTTACAGAATTCAGAGAGCTCATTTTGGCTTAGCATTAAATGCCACAGATTGTCTAATCTGAATTGCAGTGTACATCCCCCTCATATTTATCTTTATTTATCTCTTATCTACAACCTTAATTCCAAACTTGCACAGCACAAATCTTCCATCTCCAAATCCTTCCCTCCATTTTCCCCTCCCTCCATTTAATTCACAGCAGCTCCCTCCTTTTACTTCAGCACCCTCTTGCCATGCTCAGCTGCTTGTCCTTGTTCGTCCTGCATTCCACTTCCTCAGAATTTAGAGAAGTTTCTTCAGACATTGCTTCTTATTCACAGGGGTCTTGGCACGTAATTAGGATTTTAATTATGACTTCTATGTAAATGGTTTTCTTGAATTTGTATAGTCCCAAAGGTGTCCACACATCTGTACTCGAGCATAACCTTCAGTTTTTGATCACTTTCA